AAATGAAGGACTTGGGTGAGGCATCGTACATTCTCGGAATCAAGGTCATTCTTGACAGGAAGAAGAGAATGTTGTGTTTATCTCAAGCTGCTTACATTGATACTGTGATTGCTCGTGTCAGCATGCAGAACTCTAAGAAAGGTTTACTACCGTTTCGTCATGGAGTTCCTCTATCTAAGGATATGTGTCCGAAGACACAAAAGAAGATAGAGGAAATGGCTAAGGTTCCTTATGCTTCGGTTGTAGGAAGCCTTATGTATGCCATGCTGTGCACGAGGCCTGATATTTGCTATGTAGTTGTCATGGTAGCGAGATATCAGTCTAACCCTGGTCAAGGACACTGGACTGCGGTAAAGCATATTCTTAAGTATCTAAAAAGAACTCGGGATTATATGCTTGTTTACTGGTCAGACGGTCTAACTCCTTTGGGTTACGCAGATTCTGATTTCCAAGCTGATCGAGATAAGAGAAAGTCGACCTCGGGTTATGTGTTTATGATGGGAGGAGGAGCGATCTCATGAAGGAGTGTGAAGCAGAAATGCATCGCAGATTGTACCATAGAAGCCGAATACGTTGTTGCTTCAGAAGCAACAAAGGAGGTTGTTTGGCTCAGGAGCTTCTTACTGGACTTAGGGGTATCTTCGAGTGTGCCTAAGTGTATCACAATTTATTGCGACAACACTGGTGCAGTCGCAAACTCGAGAGAACCCCGACCACATAAGGTCAGTAAACACATCGAGAGAAAGTACCACCTTATACGAGAGATCGTGAAACAAAGAAATGTAGTTGTGACGGAGATAGCATCATTAGATAACCTAGCTGATCCTTTCACGAAGACTCTGACTGTCAATGTCTTCGAGAAACACGTAGAGGGTCTTGGTTTACGATGTGTTGCAGCTAAACTTTGAGTATAAGCGGGAGATTGTTATGACATGTGTTTATATAATAAAAGTTTAGCTTTAGTATAAGTGGGAGATTGTTGGGGTATACAGTAAAGCAAACTTTGATGTGAGCTTTTGGATTGTATTTATCGATTTCCTATTTGACTGAAATAAATGTTTTCACATTATTGCATTCTTTATGATTGCTTGTATGCTGAATGTGTTAGAGGTATGCTGTAAAAGCTATGTTTTGCAGTTTCTATCAATTCCATTTTGATCTGGCAATCATGTTTCGGTCAAAGTACATATGTTTGCAGTTTATTTAT